ACCTAAAGGACCAGACAGCCATGTTCACACCTAAAGGACCAGACAGCCATGCCCACACCTAAAGGACCAGCAATGAAGAGACTGGCAAACACGGTGCTCGTGGAGCATGCTGGTTGTTACCCTACATTCCTTTGTTCAGGAAAAGTTTCGAGTGCCTCAACCTCACGCATAACAGAAGAAACACAGTTTAACCCAAACTGCAAAACTGTTTTCACCTCTCAGACTGGCAGCCTCAATAGCTCACAGCCTAATGATAAGGTTGTAGGGGGAAAGACACACAAAACAATTCCCACCAAGTACAATTTTGCAATACCTGCCAAAACAAAACTAAAAGACCTTCTCCATGTCCCGAGAACACTCCCTAGAATTTACCCGAAAGGCTGACTAACACCAAAGAGTGCACTTATAAAGTTAGTCGATGCAGCGTTATGTACACGAGACTGGAACTGTCAGTCCGTCACAGACTTCCTCTAGGACACGCTGAGTGAGTACCAACCGCTAAGGGCACAGACTCTGACACACTTGGTATCTGTGCAAGGATCCTGCTGGGAGTGGAGTAAGGAAGTCTTATCTCTCTCCTGTTTGTGTAAATAGCTCAGGAAAGATAAACAGGAAACAGGTAACATCAGTCACCAGGGCAGACTGGGAAAGGAGGTTGAGGAATGTAGGTGAAATCTGAACCATACTATATTACCTACCCCCAAAAATCTAAGTTGAAAGTAAATGGGGGGAAGGGGAGGAGAGAGATGTGCCCAGCATCCTTCAGAGTATTAGAGACAGTGGTTAAAGTGATCTAAAAATGTCTGTCTCTGTCTACAGGAGGAGAGAAACATTAACTAAACATACCAATGTCAAGTGATCTTAAATAACTATGGGGAAGAATTAAGGAAAAAAAAAAAAACAAGCAAACAGACCAGTCAGAATGTGTACAAGGGTTAGTCGGCAATAAAGGAGAGTGTGTGGAGCAAAGGCCAAGAGGAATGTGGAAGGACTTGTCAGGGAGGCACCTGGAGGAGGGTGTGCAGGCCAAGTGACGGAAGGGACACAGACTGTCAGTGTGGCTGGAACAGAGAGAGCAGGAGGACCAGACCTTCAGGGACTGACCCTCGCAAGCAGTAGTGAGTTCTGAGGATCTTGGCCTTTTCAGAATGAGCTAAGAAACCACAAGAGCACTTTTCCCTCTTTTTGGTTTTTTTGAGACACGGTTTCTCTGTGTAGTCCTAGCTGTCTTGGAACTCACTCTGTAGACCAGGCTGGACTTGAACTCAGAGATCCGCCTGCCTCTGCCTCCCGAGTGCTGGAATTAAAGACGTGTGCCACCCAGCCCCATGAGAGCATTTTTTGGGAATGGATAACATGATCTTCCTTTTGAACTGGATCTGGGCTGAAGATGGGCTGGGAGGGAGGGCGTGGGTAGAGATGTCAGGAGAGCACTTCTGCCACCCAGGTAAGGGAGGACGGTGGTAAGAGGGACAAAGAAGTCACCAGGAAAGCATCTGCTGAAAGGTGGAGGTGGGGGTTGAGAGGAAGAAGACAACCCAGGAGGACTCCTAGGTTTTAGCCCAGGAAATGGAGTGGTCATTTTCTCAGAGACAAACAAAGGTCAGTAGGCCAGCACATCTGAGACTCCATCTTAAAAATACTAGGTTTAAGTCACCTACTGACAATAAAGGGGACGTAGGAGGTAGTTGGATGAAGGATACGACCTCAGAGGAAAGGTCATCAGAGGGTGGAACTGGGGTGAGCTCGCGGGAACTGCACAAAGCTCTACCCTGATATAACCATGCGAGCTGGTATTCCAGAGAGGAAGCGCACTTAACACTTCACAGGTGAGAAAATAACGATGGTGGAAACCAATGAGAGGGCTCCTGCAGGAGTGGGGTTCAGCTTCCAGCACCAATCGGGTTACTTACAACATTTCAGCTTCAAGAGATCCGGCACCTTCTTCTAGCCTCCCAGACACCGATACTACCAGGCACACATCCCCAGACAGACACACAGACATATACACAATTTTAAAATAATGAATCTTTAAAGACAAAGAAACAAACCCTCTCACTGGGTATGGTGGCTCATACCTGCACTCAAAACACTTGGGAAGTCCCAAGGCAGAACTACTGGGAATTTGAGGAACGCCTCGGGTACACAGTAAGTTCTAGGTCAGCCTGTGCTACAGAGAGAGACCTTGTCTCAAAAGTAAAATGAAGAAAAATTACAAAAATGAAACTTCTAAGCGAAGAGGGAGCAGGATTAGAACCGAGTCTCCACTCAGCAACACAGGCTTTGCTCCGAACGTGTGTCAAACTCTGTTTGCCGTGAACCACCTTCACGCAGGAGTAGACAATCTCCTGCGAAAACTAAAGAGAGACCAAAAATGTTCTTATCTTCTCGGGATCTACTCTGAATGCAGGCGAGATAAAGAGCAGTCGAGAAAGGGGGATGAAACGGATCGCGCAGGTGGCATAGGGAGAAGAGCCAGTTGGTCTTTCCTCCTGGCTATTCTGCAAAGGCCAAATACGGACCATGAACTATTGATGACTGTCATGACAGATCTAACCGGATAAGGTAACATTAGCTAGAATTACGAGAAAGACTCCCCAGCTCCTACGATCAGAGTCACAAAAGCCCAGAACACTCAGCTACAGTTCATTTCTTCATGACTGGCTGAAGCAGAAAGATGTCTCAGAAGCCGTCAGTCACCTCATTTAATAATGGATTAACTAAAGCTCACAGGAGGAAATAAGGTACCACCCAAGGGGTTTCTGAGGCCGGGGAAGGCTCTCCCATTGCAGACCGGGGCCATGCCTGTGCACTGGCACTGCCATCCCTGTTTGTAGTATGATCTTTTCACTGGTAACCTCAGGAAAGTCTAAGGATTTCAAAAGACTGTAGTCACCAGGTCAGGGGTGGCAGCAGACACCTATAATCCCAGCACCTGGAAGGCAGAAGCAGGCAGATCTCTGGGAGTTCAGGGCCAGTGTGATCAATGCAGTGAGCTCTAAGTCAGCCAGGAGCTGGGAGGGAAGGAGGGAGGAAGAGAGAGAGGGAGGGAGGGAGAAAGAGAAGGAGTAAGAAAGAGAGAGAAATCAGAGCCAGAAGAGACATCATGTACTCAGTACTGCTCTTGGTCTATCAAAAAAACGTTAGCGCAGAGGTCTTGAAAACCAAGACTAAAACAGAGCCATAAGGCATCACACTATCTCTCAGGAACCTACTAGAAATCTGACAGCAAAATCCGTAACACGGGCAACCTCGAAACTGCAATGCTTATATCTGCTGCCACTGGTGCGGGATCACAATCACCAGCCAGTCCCGTGGCTGCTTTCACAAACCAGTGTAACACTGCAATTCCAATAATAACGGCCACCATTTTCTAAATCCCCAGAATGAACTAAGTACATTCATTGCTGGCATCACAGTTGACCCTGGAGCCAGGACACAGACGTTTTATTAAGAGAACCAAGGCCTGGGACTGTAAAAGATGGCCCAGCTGCTCTTCAGAGGACCCACATATGGTTCCCAGACATCTGCAACTCCCGTTCTAAGGTATCCGATAGGCCCTCCTCTGGCTTCCAAAGTAGTGCACAGAAACCATGCAGGGAAAACTCGCAGACAAGTGAAATAAAGTGAGTCTTTAAAAAAAGGAAAAAGACAACCAAGGGTTGATTATATAGACACTCATCAGAAACTAAAAGTATAAGCTTGCCAGGTGGTGGCAACTCACGCCTTTAGTCCCAGCACCTGGGAAGAAGAGGCGGGTGGATCTCTGAGTTCGTGGCCTGCCTGGTGAATTCCAGGATGAACAGGGCTACATAGAAAAACCAGGACTCAGGGGGAAAATATTCAACTGGGCTACGATTCCAGCCACTCAGGAGACCGAAGCAAGGGAACAGAAGCTCAATCCCTGCCTGGGTATGAAGCAAATTCAAGGGCAGTCTACACAACCTAGAGAGACCCGTCTCAACATCAGCAGTGATGAGCAAGCATAGTGCGCGCAGAGCAGGAGCTAAGCACTGTATTCCACACACGGAGAGTTAAAATGCTCCAGTGCGGCCACATGGTGCAGTAAAGAACCAAAGGTATTAAGGTCTATGAAAAATGCTTTTCCCTTGGAGCAAATGGCTGCCCTCTGCTTTCTGGGTACACGGGGAGACTGCATTTCCCACTTCCCTCTTCACCTAAAAAGTATAATCCAACTAGTCATGGCCAGCATAAATGTGGTGTATATGTGAGTGTAGCAACCATTTGCACTTCAATTCTCTCTCAAATAATCCTTCTTTTTCTTGCCTGCCAGAGACCACATAGACAGGAGCATGGCGTCGAGACCAAGAGAGCTAGGTCGGTACCAAGGCAGGGGTTAGCGAGAACTCATAAAGAGAGCCCGCTTAGCATGCCAAGTTCACCACAGTAACTACAGTAAGCCCCGAGGTCTGTGATATTCGTCATGACAACAGTAATCATTCAGGTTAACAGTTACTTTAAGATATGCAGTGGTTAGGATGAAAAATAAGAATACAGGCTGGCTGTGGTGGCTCCTGTAACTCCAGCACTCAGGAGGCTGAAGCAGGAGAATCAAAGTCAGAGGCCAGCTGGGGGCTACATGAGTTCCGGGACAGCCATAGCTACATAGTGAGACCAGGTCTCAAAAACCCAAAAAATAAACAAAATAAACAAACTTTTTTCAAAATAAGACTTGATTACCTCTTGCTAAGGTGTTCCATTGCATTTTGCTTGCATAAATCGGTGAATGAGTGGTGAATGAGTGCATCTTAGCAAGCATTATCAGCTACTTTATAAGACAAGGTTCTCTGAGGTCTCAGACCCAGAACAAACTGCCTAGGCACCCATTTAACATATCAAAGCAGACACTGGCTGTCAGGTTCTACCTGCAGCCCTCAATCTCAACCAGTCCCAGGGCCCTCCTGGCTGGCATACCTGGCCCCTACCCAGACTTCTCCAGCCCCATATTGGGCAGGGCTTCCCTGCTGAAACTGCCCTTCCCTATATAATCCGGCCATTTTGATTGCCTGACCTTTTTTGTCTACCCTTTATCCTCCTGCCTCTCGGTCTGGCTCTCCCCTCCCCCGCCCCCTCACGTGGCTCAGGTCATGTCCACTCTGAACTCTTGCAGATGTCCCTGCCTCTGGCTACCTCTATCTCTTCCTTTTATCTACAAGAAACCTCCACCACCATACCTAGGAGCTATCATATCCTTTCCTTTATATCTCTTTTTTTTTATTCAATCTCAAAAAAAAAAATCCAAAAAACATCACCCGAAGCATGAAATCAGTGGCTGAGACAGAGCGACTGTCCTTGCGTTTCTCAACCCACTGGCCCTCGTTCTCCTGCACCACCCGCCTAGTCCAACAGATGGCGCCCTAGACCTCCCACCCAATCCAATGGATGGCGCCCTAGTCCTCCTGCCTAGTCCATCAGATGGCGCCCTAGTCCTCCTGCCTAGTCCATCAGATGGCGCCCTAGTACTCCCACCCAGTCCATCAGATGGCGCCCTAGTCCTCCTGCCTAGTCCATCAGATGGCACCCTAGTCCTCCTGCCTAGTCCATCAGATGGCGCCCTAGTCCTCCCATCTAGTCCAACAGATGGCGCCCTAGTCCTTTCCACTCAGTGTGTGTCCCAAAGATGGTTGTGATCTTGACTCAAAAAATTGATCTCCTCTTAAAACTGTCGCCTCTAGAAGAATCTTCAGTTTAATTTCTAAAACTCAACTGGGGGCTGGCGGGACGGCGGTTCCGTGGGGAAGAGCATTGGCTGCTCTTGCAGAGGACCCAGGTTCGATTCCCAGCAACCACACTGTGGTTTACAATCATCTGTAACTCCAGTTCCAGGGATCCGATGCCATCTTCTCACCTCCAAGGGCACCAAGCATACATGTGGAATGCATACACATATGCAGGTCAAATGCTCACACATAAAATAAAATTAGTAAACCTAATTTTAAAAACTGAATGGGAAGAAACCAAGTCATTCTGAAAATGACTCCATATACATAAATCTCAGTATAAGAAGACACCAACTTGGGCTGGAAAGATGGTTCAGAGGTTAAGCACACTGGCTGCTCTTCCAGAGGTCCTGAGTTCAATTTCCAGCAACCACATGGTGGCTCATAACCATCTATAATGAGATATGGTGCCCTTTACTGACCTGCAGGCAGACATGCAGGCAGAACACTATATACATAATAGATAAATTTAAAAAAGAAACTTGGTTCCTGGAAAGGGCCATATTTTAAAGAAATATAAAATTAGTATAAAATACTGGACCCCCCCCAACCCCGCAAGCCAGGCAGTGATGGCGCACGCCTTTAATCCCACTCGGGAGGCAGAAGCAGGAGGATCTCTGTGAGTTCGAGGCCAACCTGGTCTACAAGAGCTAGTTCCAGAACAGGCTCTAAAGCTACAGAGAAATCCTGTCTCGAAAAAACAAAACAACAAAAACAAAACAAAAAAAGATACTGGACCCCCATCATTTGTTTTAAATGCTAAGGACTAGAATAGCAACATTCATAATGGGAAAACAAACTTACCTAGCAACCAGAATAGTAACACTAACATTAGAAAGGGGAGACAGACTTACCAATGACAGTCTATTCCCAGAGAACTGCCCACCGGCCATGTCTCTAACAGACATCACCTACTTGAGATGTTTTCATAAAGCATAGCTGAACTTTCTAACAGTCAGGGAGAGAGAAAGGCACTACAAACCGTTACTCCTGTTACAACAGAGCCACATGACGACCACCACGGCTGGAGTCCCTTACCTTTATATATCTTTTCATTATCACACAGATGAAGGGTGAAGTAGGTATCGAGGAGCTGGTGGCCATTTCTGTTGGCTATATTCCGAGCAGCAATGTTCCGGAGATGTCGAAGACGCCGCTAAAACAGAACCACAGTGAACAGGCATTCAGTTTCTCAGTGCTCTACGCTTTGAAAGCATCCATTCAAATAAAAAATAAAAATAAAGGGCACGGGACAGGTCGCCCCAGGCACTGCTTGCAGAGGCCACAACATAACCCAGTCTCTTACTTAGGCCTCATCGTGCCCTCCGCCATACAGGAAACATACCTTCCTCTTCTCACTTAGCGGGCAGTCACAAGCACGGAATGGAAATAGATATGAAATTATTTTAGTTCTGTGCGCAGTGGAGACCAAAGATCAATGGTGAGTGTCTTCCTCAATCACTTCTTCACCTGAACTCTCCCTGAACCTGGGGCTCACTGATTCAGCCTAACGGACTAGTTGGTGAGCTCTGGGGATCTGTCTCCAGCTCTCCAGACCTGGACCACAGGAGCATACCACCACAGGGGCATTCCACCATACCTAGCTTTCTATATGGCTGCTAGGAACCTAGACCCAGAACCTCATGCTTGGGTAGCAAGAGCTTTACCAACTGAAAAGGCACAAATACTATGTAAGAGTGTTCATATCCTTGGAACATAAACTAAACAAAGACTTAGTTTTCCCCCACAGGTTTTAGATAGTTGTGACAAGCCTGTTGTTCAGCCTAGATGCCAGATCATTTGTACAACTACGAGAAGACATAGGCAAAGAAGAAAGAAAAATCTAAAGCAGTAACTCTCTGGTTGTTCCAGCCAACAGCCCCCTTGACCAGCAGGCAGCCGGTTTCTATTTGCTAATCAAGATCAATGTCCTTCAGAGTCACTAAACAAGATGCCTGAATTATGTGGAGTCCCATGTCGGAAACACGAAAGCTCCACAAGCAGAACTCTGGTTTGTAGTGTGTCTCTCTCTCCCTGAATGTTAGAAAACTCCACAAACAAAACTACAGAGGACAAGCTGAAGACCCGGCCCGATCACGGCATACCGGCAGAGCCAGGCACGGTGGCACACACCTGCAACCCCAGCACTTGGGAGACAAGAGACAGGATCACTGTGTCCAGTCTAGACTACCAGCCAGGGCTACATCTCAAGACAGTTTCTCAAAAGAAAAGAAAAACGATGCCCGTGCTGAAGCCTGGGCGTATCATGTTCGCCCTTCAGAGTGAGTTCTCTTAGAGACTTAACAGAGGCCAGCATGATGGCCCAGTGGATAGAGCGCTTGTTGAACAAGTCTGACAGCCTAAGTTCAGTGACCAGGGCTCACGTGAAGGGAGGAGGGAACTAACTCCACAAAGCTGTCCCCGACCCTGACGTGTCCACATACACACACACACACACACACACACACACACACACACACACACACAATAATAAATTAATGTTTAGTAGGAACCTAGTATCCAGTGTTAAACACACTTCATACCCTCCCTTGGGGATGGCAACCCATTCTCCTTAGGAACATCTATGTTCAGCAATGCAGGAAATCAGCTGAAAGGGCCTAGCACTTTTGTCCATTCATACACCAACCAAATGTTTTCTCTGTGTACAGTCTACAGTTCCTCGAGAAACAAAGCCCTTGTCTAGCAAGTCTCCCTAATACTTAAGTATGAAAAGCTCCAGATGTGTTTATGAATGTCTGCAGGGCTCAGGCTTACCAGCAGCCTGACGTGCTTTCCTGTCACGCCCTAGAGTTCAGCTCACTCCTGCTACCTATCTCATTAACTCCACACAGAACTTTTAACTGGGAGGTGGTGGGATGGCTCAGTGGGTAGAGGCGCTTGCCACCACATCTGATGATCTGAGTTCAGCACTGGGAACCTGCATGATGAGAGGAGAGAACCGACTCTCTAAAGCTGTCCTCTGACCTCCACACATTGGCCATAGCAGATGCATTAAACACACGTGTGCATATTAGTGCATGCATGCACACACATCACATTGCATTTGCTGCATGACTGCCAATGGAAAACACTGCCCAAACTTTGCAATAAAGTGTATATACTCCATCATTGTCTGTGAAGCTTCTGCAATCTGACCTCTTCCAGGACCAGCCAGAAGACCATACAGAGGGCTGGGGATGTAGTTCAGGGACAGAACGCTTGCCTGGTGTGTCTCATTCAATTCCCAGCACTCACAGGATAAATAGTCGGGGCTGGAGGGGATGACTCAGCCTACTCCTCTGGCCCTGAAGCTCGGAAGGGTAAGGACCAGAGATGCTGGCTGCCACTCTCCTCACAGGGCAGTCGGAGAACGGAGGGAGGGACAGAAGAAACCAGACTGGGATTCAGTTCCACTAACACATTTGTCTCTGGATAGATCTTATCAACAAGTAGCAATTACAACCCTATGAATTCACAGTAATTTCATCCCGATGAGTCAGTCAAAGACCACAGGTTTGGAAAGGGTTTAGTACGGTAACTGTTAACTAATTTATCCAGGGCTGGGCCCGGAGCTCAGTGGTACAGCACCTACTGGCCTAACACATCCACTCCCATCCCAAGGCCGGCGATTACATCTCCAACTCTGTAGACAAAAAGACAGACAGTTTGTTTTTTCAGTCCCACAGTGTACTTAGTAGCAGAGTACAAAGAAATAATTTTATTTGGTTTGATCTGGTCTGGTCCGGTTTTGAGCCAAGGTTATGTTGAACAGGTGGGTCTTCAACCCCAGGGCTCGGGAGATTCTCCTGCTTCGGCCGCAGCTCTAAGACGACAGTCACAAGCCACCAAGCCAGCTCTGAGAAATGCTTTTCCTACTCCCATTTCTGCTGGGCTAGTTCACTTCTCTTCCATGACTTGGAGCATCAGCACAGCACAAGGCTTTAGTCAATCAGGTCACACCTTAGACTTACAGAAACCCAGAGCCATTTCAGTAGTGACAACACTCAACTGGGCTCCTCTGTCCCTCCCCACGCGCCATCTTTCCCTTCCTGGTCCTGAGGTGTTCTGGCTTCTCAGGGGTAACGGGGCCCAAAGGAACTGAAGCATCCTTATCGTGTGCCTCACCATTGACAGAGACTCACCCAGGAAGGCCGAGAACCAAATGGTGATTTTCACCCACCAACCCCTTTCCTGCACTCTTGTGTAAAAGTCAAAGGACTATGGGTCTTAAATATAACTACTCACAAATCCCCACCGTCGCCAAACAAACCATCCCATGGACCATTTCGATGACTCGCATTATGGTTTGGAAATGAAGTGCCACCAAAGAGATCCCCCAGCTAGTGTTGTATTCTAAGTGTTCTGGGGGCTTCAGGAGGTAGAGCCTGGCAGTAGGCCACCGGTTCCTCCTTGGGCTGTCTTATCCCTCTCTCCGTCCTGTCTCTCTCAGCTTCTCAGTCTGCCACGAGGCAAACAGCTTCTGCCGCACACCCCTACAGCCATAAGCATGGTCAGCATGGGTGCAACGGCGCCGAGAACTGTGGACTAGAACTTGAGTCCGATGCATCTTCCCTCCCTCTCGGTCGTCCTGTCAGGCTGGGCACAGTGGCGAGCGTCTAAATGGGGACAAGCAGGAGTTTGAGGCCAGCCTGGGCTCCATGAAACTGTAGCAGAAGGAGCAGGAGGAGGAAGGACGACAGAGGGCAATTAGAATGTCCTGCTAGCTCCTGCGTCACAAGTCATCAGTGAGGGAGGTATTCCCAGAACAAACTTGAATCCAATGTGTTTAATCTACCAGAGCCAGTACAGACCAACAGTATACCCACAATCACTAACGCAAGGCCCAGCAAAGGGGAGGAAGGGGAGGCAAAGGCTACGGGAAGGCAGGCCGTGGGAAAAGAAATAAGCCGTCGATGAACACACGAAAAGAATGCACAATATGGGGGCTGGAGAGATGGCTCAGTGGTTAAGTGCATTGCCTGCTCTTCCAAAGGTTCTGAGTTCAATTCCCTGGCAGTCACATGGTGGCTCACAACTATCTGTAATGAGGTCTGGCCTACAGACAGAATATTGTATACATAGTAAATAAATAAATAATTTTTTAAAAAATGCACAATATGACCATCATTAAATATATGAAAACCAAACGCTCCCCTAGGTGACAGACTAGTTTCCAAATGTAGATCACGGGTGCAACCATGGCCATGCTCTCTTGAATACAGTGTAATGTTGCTACACCAACAAGGAAGAAGTGTGCTGTGTGTTCCCAGCACCGTCACACGTGGCAAGTCTGTCACCCTGGCCCAAAGAATGCTCAGTGATATGATGGCGTGAAATCGCAAACAGTTAGAGTATGGCTTCCCCCTCGTCTTGGGGACACTCGTCCTAGGAATCCCATGATCACATAGTAGAGGACAAGGAGCCGCACCAAGGGACCTGCAGCTCCGACCCTCCAAGAGTGACACCTAGCAGACACAAGTTCTTTCCTCAAAACCCTGACCAGACTGCTGATTTAGCAGCAAAATCAATGGTTGAAGCCACTAACTTCTTTAAGTGTCACACGGCGGTGGATAACTAACGAGCTTTGGCTAAACAGGGCTACTTCAGCCTCTGCCAGGGTCGGCACAATCCAGAGAGCAGCATAAGTCCTTCACGTGCAGCAAGGACCACTTAGTGATTACCAAAATTTTCCAGTACTGTTTAAAAAGCAAAAATTCAATAAACATGCTTAAATGGTAATATATCCATAACAGAAAACATATTACCATTTTTAAAAGGTCACTTAAGTATGGGTTTGAAATGCCAAGGGGAAAAAATTTTAACTATTCATAGATAGGAATACAATTATATTCCCTGAGGATCAGAGATCAGGGGTTTGCAGACTTGAAAGGGCCACGGCGTGACTTCTAAGCTTTCCAGGGCACATGGGCCTCTGCAGGTTTCTTTCCAGCCTGCTCACGGCCCTTTAACGACATAAATGCCATCCCCAGTTCGTGGACTGTTAGAAAAGCCACCATTGGCATGCTGGCTGCTAGCACAGACCTTATGAGAAGGTGTTGAGACTTGAGTCCTGGTCTTCAGCTGCTCTTCCCTGTCTAGAACCTTCTAATGGAAGTCACTAGAAGCTGTACCTAGAGGATCAGAGGATGGGATTTT